TGTGCTGAAAATGCACTCTACATTGGATGAACCAGCTGACTTAACTGGACCTGAACAAACAGTGAAACTTGTACACCGGCTAAACCCACAGATTTATCGGATAAAATTGAGCTCTCGCTGATTATTAATATTTATCTCTTCATCCCGACAATTTGAGAGTTGGTCGAGTTATTGTAGATGGAACTCTCCTGATATGACTGGTTACGATTCATTTTGGCTTATATCAACTGAGTTGATGCATTTAGTCACACTGAATTCAATGTGATACGGTATTTGGTATTATAACATGGGTAAAGTTGCTGTAAGCCTTTGAAGTCTGAACATATAGATAAGTAAATCAACGACCGATTCAATTTGAATACCTTCATGATTACAAAAACGTGGTCATCTGTTTGTTATCAAAATGCAAACGAAAGCAATATCCACGGTAACTATGTTGGTTTCGAACCACCACATCCTGTTCTGACAGGACGTATTAACTTGATACTGGAAAGAAATGCATTGTGATTGACGGAGAAATTCCGATCACAGTCTATCACAGAGACACGTACATGAAGCGTTCTTGGAATTTTATCTTGTTCAGAGTTGCAAGGACAGGTGAGTTTTCTGCTCGAAAAAAATCGTTTCCTCTCATCGCAGAAATGGGGCCTCCAGTGGACGATGCGTATGTGATCTTCGTATCGAGAACTTTCATATCAAATAGGCGTAGTCATTTAAGTGTGCATACTATGATCCGGAACTTTTCCGTTTACCTATGAGGAGATATAACGTACGCCAGTTATGAAAATTGATTTCAATTTTTCCCCTTAGGCACATACATGGTATACACTCCAGGTACACAAATGCTTCTGATAAGAACAACTCACATGCATCAGTGAATGTAATCACATTCAGTGTATTGCATCATCATGAACTCAACATTTATCCTTAATCAATATGCAACTAATATATTTTTCTACACTTCAGGCAGGTTTACTGCTTTAGCTATGGGCACATCGTTTTGAACTGTTTTGGGAGTTTCCAGGAATTCAGTAACAAATTATAAATTCAAAATATTCTCATGAATAAATCACTTGTCATAATCAACACAAAGTAATTAAAAAAACAGTAATCCAGTGAAATAAAAGTTGTTCTTCTAGAGAATCTTCACAACACTTGTACCCCTTTCTTCTGCTCATAATTCGTGAAGAAAGTGAATAGTCTACAAATAAATATATTTTGACATCTACATGGCACCCTGAAGCTCGGGCACACTCGTCAATAGACTTCTATTGACAAAACGTTACATGAGCCGAGCGCAGTAATCAATGAGGATGAAACTCTGCTATTTGACGAAGGTCGAGTAATGCTCCCGATTGTCCCCGGGTAGCAGGTATTGAACTAAATGGGTAGAAAATGGAGCCCCACATTTCAGTTTCTACATAATACATTTCACATGTAAGTGTCATCAGAAAAATAGGCGGCTATTGTATATTATTATTCCAACCCTATGATAAAAGTGATGCAGATCAGACACGTGACATAGTACATCAACGTTGACTGTAAGAATCTCGCGAACATAATATCGATCGTTTGTGACTAGAAACATATGCCTCGAAAGTCATTCAATAAAACAGAAGGTTAAATAAGACTACACGAATAAATAAGCACTCCTTCTACGCTCCTCCGAAATAAGTGTTCATTTAGGAAATCCGCTTCTGAGAATAAACGTAACACAACGCACTTTCATAGCGGTCTGATATAATTATCACATGCTCCCGACCGTGTTCGACAATTCTAACCGGGTAATTAGCTTTTATACTTAAACTGGTGAGTACTCTTTGTCTTAATCGCGAAGCCCTCAATTTCACAGGTTCGTAAGCCATTGATAATGATGAGGAATTCAATAGTTGTTGAATGCATTTGAAATCCTCAGGAGCTTTGCATGAACAGAAGCGTAAACAGCACTGCTGTTACTCCAATCACTTCCACGCCTGATCTGCTGAGATCTTATGTGGTTCGTCATTTTCAGTCACATAATCAGGGATGCCAGTTTCCTTCAAGTTATGAATCATGAAAATACAAAATCTTACACGTATTCGTTCGCTTGCTCGCTCTGCTCACTCAAAAAAAACAAACATGAACACATCACCCTAAGTGACGTTCGTCAAAAAGGCAATAACATCGCTTATGTACATATATTTCTCCAACGGTTCCTTCTTATTGCCCTATTTTTGACCGAAACTCAAATCTTACACTCGTCACACACCAACCACCTCCAATTTCCCCAAATATTACTTGCACTACTTTTTTTCACCGATAGCTCGGGTCTGTACTTTTGTCCACCAGCCAATCACCAAATCCGGAATCCAAACTTTTGATGTCTCCAGTCGTGAATTTCAGCTGATGTTTTAATCACCGTTGTGCTGTTTATCAAAAACCCAACAGTAGGGACTCATTGATGTTTGATTTCCTATTTTCGAACATCGGGTTATTGTTTCTTACGCACGGCATCTACCATACAACCATTTCAGGAGATTGTATTGATCACAATCGGGATTGGTTCATTCACTCATCGGACACTTTGATTGCGGGGCGCGAAGACGAACCTGTGCTAACTTTTTGACCCCCTCCATTTGTATCCTGGATCTAGCCCCTTATCTTACCTAAATCGGTGATCTTACTTGCACTTCTGTTCCTTCTTCTTTCTCAGACATCTCAGCACTTCCCCCCAACTGACTCATCTGACCGCCGTATCATTTCCTGTTCCACCAATTTCATTAGCCCGATCCTCCACAAACCTCGAGAAATACATTTTGAAGCTGCAGATTTGCAAATTAGACGGTTTTTACGGTCTCCTAGCTTCCCATCCGTTGGATGGTTGCTGCTTTGTTTCAGATATTTCCGCTTCATTTTCTAACCTGCATGAAATTGTTCTTCAAGTGAAATTTTTATTTTCCCTAATTTTCCAAGCCCTATCAACTACTCGTTTTAACGTGTTGGACGTTTGGAACGTGCAACATTTCTCGGCCGGGGAAGATCGTCTATCTCGACTCCCAAAATTGCTTTGTGCAAAGTCAAGAGCAGATGCCCGTCAACCGTATACAAGGATGAGGAATGATTCGTCCGCTGGAGAGACGATCATTTATTTTCCTCGGCCATACTTGGCCGAAAACTCTGATCCCTTGACCAAGAAATCTCCCGCAATTTCCCCTCCTAATTTCCCTTCCATATGTAAATCCTCTGGCGATCATCTTTTTGAATCACCCCAAAAAGCTGAGGTGTTTGATTTATTATTTAACTTCCTTTCCTACTCCTCAGATTTCTACTATCCCCACCCCTCTTCTCCTAAGAGCTGCTTTCTCTGGATGTATGCCAACCACCCGGTTCGGACGGTATAGAGATGTGTACCCTGAATTGGCCTCTTCTCCTACATCATCTATCTGTCTCACCCTTCAATATTCTACTTTTCCGATCCCTTCGAAACAAGCCTTTGTTTTCTTATTCCCAAAAATTTCATCTTTCTGACCCCAATAAGTATCGTCGGACTTCCCTTATACCTCTTATTTCAAAAGTACTCGGAACTGTTATTTCCGAACAATTGTGTACTTCCCTAAAACACTGAGGACTAGTGAGTTTTCGCCATTTTACATTCCGACCACACCGTTCCACCAGTGATGTCCTGGCTGTCGTCTTACACAACTCGTCGACTACGATCGACAACGATATCCCTTAAACCTCCGACTGATTTCGACGCGAAGGCATTCTGGCGAAACTGACCACGTTCAAATCCTCCTCCACTCGCGTATCGTAAGTTTCCTCAATAAGTGAACCATCTCCATCCGTGTTGATGGGGTTCTGTCCCAGTCAATCTCTGTGAATGCTAGCGTTCTCCAAAGTTCAGTAATTGCACCCACTTTAGTTCTGTTATTCATTGTTGGTCATCTATTCACCACTTCTAACCAAATCCGTTCCCTTTTGATGACACCACCCCTCACTCTTCATTTTTTGCCGCAGTAGTCTTGATGCTAACACAGACAATAATCGGGACCGCAGTCCAATTTCATCCTGGGAATCTAAAGTTGAATTCATTGCTTCCGAATCTCTCTTCCCGAGATTTCTTTGCAGCATCATTCATTCTCATCTCATTCATACTTTGATTCAACTGTACTGCATTCCATGGATTCTATCCCTCTTCTTCGCTTGTCTAAAACATTTCTTTTCTCTTGGACCGCCTTAATATTTCAGTTTGTTTCTCATGCTTCGCGCGGAATTGATTTATGTTTCGCGACAGAAACTTCCTCACACCAACTTACCTTCTGTTGCACGAAGCTCAAATCTATCCTGCACCTGAATATCGCAGTCACGTGTGGGGTGGTGCTTTGTCTCCCACCCCACTTGCTTATCTTGATCGGGTTAAACGAAAAGCCATTCGGCTGATCAACGACCCTTCTTTAACTTAGAGTTTGCAGTCTATAACCGATTCTCGGGTGGCTCTACGTTTTTCCTCTTATACTGGTATTGCTTTGGGTTTGTTAGTCTGAGCTCGCTTTGGCAGTTCTTCTCCCCAAAACTTTTTCCCGATCATCAAGTAGCAGGGTAACCCGACGTACTTTCAAAGTTTCTGACACGAGATGTTATACTTCAATTTTTTAGTCTTCTATTTTCTCCCGGACCGTCAACTTAAGGTGCACCACTTTTTTCTGTCTTCCTACCTACACACAGCCTTTGCTGTTATCCACGTTCCAGCTCCACAAATTTCAACGATTTCCGCAACCTCTCTCTCACCCAAGAAATGCACCGCATTCGTTGAGGGGTCGGTGTTTCATACAAAACTGCCAGCTACATCTCCAAAACGGATGTCGACAACCAACAGGTTAAAATAACAAGGGTTTTCAAGGCTACCAGACAATTGTATTATTTCCCTTAAAATGGGTAAATGTAAAAACTAAGGTTGAGATTTGCAACTCATTTGGTTCCATATTGAAGAATGTGTTCAGCTTAGGATAAATCGAAGAAAATCATTGAAATAATAACAAAAGTAATGGAAGAATCGTACAGAGTGAAACCAAATCGCTCCATGTGGAACCCTTGTTTTCTGTTATCGTGCTATCCGAGACTGTCGTTTGCAAAAGCGTTACTAAAATGCAGAAAAATAATAGTGTAATCCAGTGAAATAAACATGCCATATTCGTTAGAGATGAGAAAACCGGGAGTTCAACGAATATTTTGCAATAAAACATCTGTTGAGACCGAACATCAACTTCCCATGTTGGCCGATGAACTATGTAAAAGGAATGAGTCCAAGTATGTTTAACAAGCTGACTCACCCTCTTCGGGGTTGCTAGGTATTAGGGTGGTTTGATTATCTTCATCGGAGCAGGGAATTCTAATTTCTCCATCTAAGTTGAAGGAGAATTTCAAAGTATTTAGTTGCACTGATTATTGTTGTTGAGCACATTGTACATTTTTCTATCTTCAGAACGATCAGACTGTATCACATAATTTGGGGAATTACGAGTAATTCAACAACCAGTAATACCTAAACTCTAACAGGACGTACCCTGATTTTTTAAAATTTCAATCGCGTTTTGACTGGTTCTGCTATCTGCCAAAACAAATTTGGAGTCAGATGTAGAAACACTTGAATAACGCGTTATGAATTTGAAATGGGAAATTGGTGATCATAAGATATCGCAAATGCTCAACTAGGTCACTTGACTGACACTGAATTTGAAGCCGATGCCTTTCTTCTATCTCTTAAAGATTGTGCAGAAGAAAGTGTACATATGATGCTGAATAATTCTCGTTATGTTTTGGATACCATTGACTTGCAAGCGAGCAAAGGCAGAACATGTATTCATTGACTATTTGGTAAGTGCTTCTTGAGATCGATTTGTGTCAAAATATCATATACTTTTTCTCCTTGTACGGGGACTTTTTAAATAACACACTTATTTGATTATGATATTGTAAAATACGAGGGGAAACGCTAGAAGGATTGCTTTCATCGTCGAATTCATCGGTTAATTTCCCCAAAGAACATCGTGTGTATGGCGTTATTCACACTTTCCACTACTTGGCAGGTAATCTCATATCCAAAAATAATAAAACCACGCTGTTCGCTAACTTCGCTGAACATATAACGAATCCTTATTGTGCTCTTGATTGTCCTGATACGTAAACTGCCACATTTGTCAGGCATAATATTGCTTTTCACCAGAAACGGTGTCATTAAATGCACATGCCATTTTCTGTCGATGTCTCTATTCATGAAAGTCATGAGAGCTAACAAATTTACTTCATTGTACGAACACGTTTTACTCACTGGAGGATGTAGTATGCTCGAGTTTGCCAGTACATTCCGTGAAAAGGTCCTGTACATTTTTTTCTGTATTTCTTTCTATGGATTCGTTCACCCATATGTTCACATAAACATTGCGTCTTTCGAAACCCAAAAACCAGTATGTGAACGATTGACCGTACGGCATTATTTTACTTAGCTCGTTTCTAAAACACCGTTGCATTTGTAATGTGTTGATGAAGATGGAACAAAACGGTACTCCAGTGACAAAGGTACTGTAGAAACTATCCCGATTACTTGAACTTTGAATATTGCAGAAAACGTGGTCTCACTAGCTTTATGCACGATATGGGCTGTACATGGCTGCGGGCAGCAGAACAAATTCCAAATGTATAACCGTGTTTATCGTAATTTCGTGGTTCTAAACAATGCAATGCACAACAATACACAAATGCAATGACTTACAGCCAGGTGAGCAACCAAGAGCAACAGTACATAAAGTCATCCGATAAATCGAGACAGCGCGGTCATAAACGGTCCACTCAGCAAGGAGTCATGCGAAACTGTAGCGCAGCACGGTTGCGGTACAGATAGTGGGTCAAGAAGCGTAAGTGAAACGTTCTGCAAAATTTTCTTACACGGGGAATGTACAATCACAGAACAGTCGAGTCGGGAACAAAACGTAGAATGTCCACGTACCATACGTCGGAAAGGGGTAAATCTGAACTGTGTCAGTACAGTAAAAACAGAGAATTGGATCACAAGTATTCGAGGTTCATGACGCATATACACGCTACTGACGTGAAGGACAAGCGAAGATGTCGTCAAAAATACAAATTACAAAAGTAATTTACAGGTACAGAATATTATTTCTAAGCTATTTCATTTGATTTCAAATTCAGTCCATCGTCACGCATTCAGCAACTTCTACTAAATTGTGTGCACCGAATAGTTTTTCGTAAGTACCCGTCGGTTACTACTAACAAAGCACAATAAACTCCAAAGAATGTTCGAAAAACGAGCAAATAATTTTTAGTGAAATATGTTTTGAATAGCAAACTGCTTCTTGCAAACCATCTATACATTAAATGGTCTTTCGAATCTGTTCACAATATGGTTGATACCAAAAACCACTCCGTCGAATGAGAATCACTGTTGATCAATCTTAAAAAGAGCAAACGAAATTTAGTGAAACTGTCGCTTGATACTTAAGATAGTAATTAGAAAACTAGCTGTGAAACGTTTTTAGTGAGATTGTAAACAAACGTTTGCTCACCTTCAACCTTGTTTGATTCATAACAGAAATTCTTTTCATCGTTGTGTACTGCATCATTTCGTCCCACACGGAAAGTGTATAAGTAAAGGCCTGTCTATAAACTGGTAATCAGTTTGGATATGTCCAATAAACCATGTACTCAAAATAATAGTCATCTGTTACAATTATGAACTATGTCAGAGATATCTGGTCTGATTATAAATTCTTTGTTGGAATGAACATTATGAAGACCTTATGGTTTTATAGTCTTGTCAGATAAGAGAAAGATTTTAAAAGTATATTATGGAGGTACGTAACCGAAGACACCGGAGCACATAGTGAGCAGATACTTACATACTGCATCGCGTTTTATTGCAGCTCCTGAGGATAAAACAATAATGAGTAATATATCTGCCTAATTCTATTTTCCAATTCTCATAGCCTATTGCAATTTCGGTGCAATTGCAATCCTACCACCTTATTCTCAAAAATGTTGGCCAGTATACTGTTTATGGCTACCACATTCATGACATTTAGTCAAGCATTTGGACGAAAAATTTACACTCAGTTTGGTACATCACATTAACTGGGTCACTTGGATCAACGCAAAACATGACCTCATTTTGGGCTTCGTTACTTTTGGTTATGATAACTTCCGAGAATCGCGTGCCAAATAACTTGAATTGCTCTTGAATCAACTGATTGAAATTTGTTGCCGAAGCAGATAAACATTCTTCACGAAAATCCGTGTCCATTTCTTTAAGGAAGAAAAACACTTTGATTGTTCCATTCCAGTTCACTTGAAATTCCACTTGACATCCAATATAACCGATCTCCCATTGCCAGTCCATTTTCCAAATAGCCCCGGCAATCTGAAATGTGAAACTTTGTTAATATGATGGCTACAAAAACTGAGTTACTCGCATTATCACAATACAAGCAAAAGCATTTCTCACTTACCACTTCACAGATGGTCGTGTTTTTCATCAAGGTAATGATTTCGTTTAAAGGAAGGTTTACAGATCCGCAATTTGGTATGAAATAATCCATTTCATATTCTGAGTCGTATTGGAAGAGAAAACAGATTTTACGATATTGTCAGGTACCTGAGAGGATGGGATGGGTGGGTCATTTTGATAATAAAAGGATTGACAGAAAAGTAATGGTAAAATATGGCTACTCGTAGGATAACCTCACCCAGTATATGACCTTTCAAGATGTCTGTAACAACATAAAAATGGAGATGTCATTTTCTGTTCGACACGGATTAGAAATAAGAATCAATAATGAAATCATACTCACATATGGCCTCTGCATACTTCGTCATGCGGAGATATTCAAGGTAAACGATAAGCCATACACCAAATGAAGATCTCATAGTAGAATAAAATTCCTAACCCAAGAGAGAAAACTGGCAGTGTTCAGACGGCACAGACTACCTTGTGTATGCACTTGGTAACCTTCTTATAAGCACCATTATTCAATTTAACAGTACAGACACACCAGCCGACTAATCTGTCAACTGTTGCAACGGCTGTTGTCCATTACCGCTTACCATTTAACAGTAGAGACACACGAACCGACTAGTCTATCCACTGCTGTAACAGATGTTATCGGTTTACGCCTACCAGAATAGCAGAAAGTCAGACGAATCATGGTGCGCAAACTGACCTGGTTGGAAGCACGTTCAACATTCCATCGAAAACGTGTCTGAATAATCATTTGGAATCAGTGCTCTTGCACCCTTTGTTTACAGAAAATACCTGACATCAATAACATGAGTGGAGGAATTCTCCGAAAGTAGTCGAACCGTGTGATGAACTGTCATGAACTTGAATAAAGAAACTACTTCAAGCAAATACGAGAATTACGTGAGATGAATGTGTTGCTTCTTTCTCCGTTTTGGCGAGTAGCATTTTATTATAATTTACATACTGAGTAAGAAATTATCAATAAATAAAAAATCAATACTGATACCATTCACTTATTGTCATCCCTAACCTTATATTTTCTGAGCTCGTCAAGCATTTTAGGTGGGCCGCGTCTTTTTTCATCTTCATAACTCCTTTTTCCGAAACTCCAACAGAGTGTTTCATAGTGCAGTGCTCAAGCCCCTGGAATATTATCGGACCTAATATAATCAAAACCGATAGCTACTGTCATCATCCAGGCATTAATTTGGCTTTGACTATCATACAGCATAGTTTTAGTTAGTCCAGTCAATTCAGTGAAACCCCTCGGTATCTGAAAATTATCAGGCTCATTATGATTCAACTTTTGACCATTACTACTGTAACGAGCATACCTTTGCTTTGGAAACACCTACTGGAGGACCATTATAAATCACAGCGTATCATTTATTTGCTCTCTAAAGATTAACCATGTTGATGACTATGGTTCACGTTAAGGGTTAACCTGCAACTAGCATGTATTTTTCAGATCCGTGGCCCTCATCTCGCAACCACATCGGATTTTACCTGCAAAACTCCGGCGGAATCAATTATCTTCAGTGCAAGCCATGGATTCAGATGTAAGAAATCGGGTAAGGATCAAGTAAACGAAATACAAGGTCTCACTCACCTCAGAAAAGTGTTTGTTTCTTGAACAGGATTGAACTGGCATGATCACTGCTAATAAGATACCAAATTTCGTTTGAACGACGCTATATGGGAGTTTGTTGGTTGATAAACAGTGAAGTTTCTTGATACCCGATCTCTTCCAACATCCCCAAGCAAAACATATTGGACAAGACTCCATGACGAAGTGGAATACGAGCCACTGTAGTAATGATCACAAATTTAACTGAAGTAAAACTTTGAGGAACAACTCATGCGCACAATTTGACAAATGCATCAATGGACTACTTCAACCGTGATAACCCACTTGCCCAACAAACAACACCACCAAAGGCTATCCGCTTCTTCATAGAATGACTTGGATTAAACAGTGGTCGTAAAGAACATGAATCAGGAATTACTTCTGTGTTTGGTTGTACCTACACGAATAAGACCAGAATTAGCTGTAACATCCCCAAACATATATGGCCACGCCCATCTCTATCGGGGTAAGTATTACTTCTCGCTCGGTTTATTCTTCTCGTCTTCACAGGTCGTGTACGTATAAACCCCACGAAAGAAAAGCGCAATTGGCATATTACATTTTTGACAACCCTGGTAACGGGACCGAGTAAAATGTGGGGTCTGTTTGGTTGAGTGATTATGAGGCATTTTGTGGACACCAGTGATCGACATTCATCGTCATCTCACTACAGTAGTATAAATGGTCTTTCCAAAAGTCAGTCAATCACGATGTTCTGCGGAAAACTTGTATCATCATGCAACCCTGGAATTCCGGATGGCAAGTATATACCGAAACCAGAGCACGGAATTTCGGGGTTGATGACCGCAAGACGAAATGAACGAGTTAGATTATTTATTTCCTCATCCAACGAATGCCTATTGCAGGCGAAATCTTCCGGGTAAACAACGGTGACAGTTTTCACTGAATACTGTGATTTTCTATTAGAAGCAAAATTATGTGAAGCACAATAGGAAGGAAAAAACTCAGTGGTGTATTGGACTTAGTGGACAATAAGTTTGAGTGAAGCATTCCCCTGAATTTCACTCATTGAAGTATTTCAGGCGAGAAAGGTTTAAGCAAAACAAACAAAGAATTTCACGCTACTGATATGTAGTAGGCAGAGGCTGTTCATGTGGTAAAATTGCAACCGAATATATGAGGGCTCTGATGAAAGCACTGAAGAGATATCTCAGAGAGCCAGATGAATTCAGAAGACTTGTATATTGATCCCTAAATGGCTCTCAATTTCCGATCCTATCTGATAAAACCAATATATTTGTTTGAAATAAAACTTTACTGGTTTACATTGTAGGTATTTACCAAAGTACCTTCCTCCGGGTTGAAAAAAAATGGAATAGGGAGAAAGAGTTTTCGGGACCACGGTGGTGAAACATGCATCATCCTGCAATTTCGACCTCGAAGTTTCGGGCTAAATTCTGGTCACCACCAGTCCCTTACTATGTCCGTAGCTACTGACTAAAAGCCTTCCCTATTCCACGAATATTGCACATTTCTGTGTAATAAATAAGCAGATACAAGTGATTATTCATACGCCTGAATCAATTCGTATAGATAGAGGGATTCATTCTTTTCATAACTCCATTGAGCTAGACAGATGCATTCGTAGATTCATGAACAACTTGAATGTCTTGTATTACCAACGAAACTGTTGTGAGAGCCTAAAGTGCTATTTGAAAAGGAGATTTGCCGTACCCATCTTGCGTATTCGGTATGAAGTGACCTGAATCTACAGAGAAATTAACGTTGCAAATTAATAAAACATGCTAAATGTGCTAAAACGTTTAGACAAGCGTGCCGGAACGGTCATTTACAGTAGGCAAGATGATATTTAGTAGATGACTACACTGAATTAGAAAACAAAAGGATTTTATAAGAAAAAGGATAAAAAATAAATATTCACATAGCTAACATAAGGAATTACCAGCCCATTTTCTAGAGGTGTTGTTGGGCCGACTATAATCATCTCCAATCATAAATCTCCGCGTAATGGTTGATCTTCAGTTTGTTTTCATGTAAGATAAATGTCATTCCTCTCTATATTAAGTTTACACATGCTACGGCTATCGTTATTGAAAGCATTCGGTTTTTCTTTTGTCATTAGCTGTGGAGACATCATCCTTAACGGAAATTGTATACCACGTGATAATTATTCAAAATAAAGTATCTAGTCGGATTTCCGTCGTTCGTGTACAACCGGATGAAATAGAATCTGCTGGTAGAATCCAATATTCCATAGATGAGAATCCGTCGAGAAGCGCGTATTGAGGATTGATCCAGACAATGTTCCACAATGTCTTCTCCTAGACAGGTGCATTCGTAGATTCATAAGCAACCTGAATGTCTAATATTACCAACGAAACTGTTTTTCAGAGCCTGGAGTGCTATTTGAAGAGGGGATTTGCCGTACCAATCTTGCATGTTCGGTGTTATTTTTGTAAATTTACAAAACTTGCTGAAAGTCCTAAAGCTTTTAGACAAGCGTGCCGGAACGGCCATTTACAGTAGGAAAGATGGTATTAAATAATTGACTGCACTGATTTATAAAAAATGGATTTCACGGAAAAAGGGGATAACAAATAAATATTCAGACCACTGAGATAAGGAAATATCAGTCAATTTTCTTTTAAACATTTCCTCATTCCTATAACAAAGTATCAGCTTAACATACGTTCCTATTACAAAAACCTTCATGCGCGCACCAGCGACATACAGCAATTCTACCATTCCTCATCTGGCAAGTCGTTCACACAATCCAGCTTCTACGCTGTCAGACCTAACACAGGATTTGAAATAGCACAACTGATTACTACTTAGTAGTTCTGTGATTTATTTCGTTTTTCGTTGTAATATTTCTGCGTTTTTGAAGACGGGTAAACATTTATGTGAAATCTGAATGTTCACTCCTGGTGGTGCCTGAAGCAATTATTCGACTTGATAATTTGCCAAAAAGATATATAACTGAATGTCTTGTCTGGTCCACTAGGAACCCATTGATGTGTTCTAGCATTCAAAGTTTTAAATACAATCCTGAGACTTAACGCATAACGGTTATCACAATTATCATTGCTCTGGAATAGAACCCATTTGGTTGCGGACCAGAGAAAACGGTTGGGAACCGTAGTAGTCAACTAAAATTCATTCGGCGTTGTTTCTTTGTTTGTTTGATTCTGTTTCCACTATGAGATTTGTTATTGGAAACTTAATTACTCAGGGTTTAGATTTGAAATGTTCACACTAGCGTCTCCCATAC